ATTGGTGTGAAGATTGGGACGTCCCTAGGGTTCCTATATATAGAGGATGAGGGGTTGTGAATGAAATATTGCTCCCCAAGCTCAGCAACTCTTGCCAAAGGTAGTACCATTCACTGTGACTAGCCTGTCGCCATCGCCTCGCTTGAACGATAAAAACAATGACTTTTTCGCTAGCCTGTCGCTCGAGCGACAGCCCAACCATAAGCTAGCAACAGCGTTAATCAATTTTCCAAAGAATTTTCTCTGTTTTTTTCCAACTTTGGACTGCAATTTCTCATTCATCCAGAATTGATTTTGAGATTCCAAATATACCACGACGATCTACTCGACGAGTAGAACAAGTTGTTCTATTTACTTTTGTAATTTGACAATCGAATCAAGTTTGAATATTGACCGAAGTTGACACGAAAGTTACTTTTTCCAAGTTTTGGTTTTATCACTTAACCAAATTTCAATCTTTCAAACCAATTTCCAACAATCCCCTACATGAATGAAAATTTTGCGATATACACTACAAATGCAAATGAATGCAAACTCTAACAACGGAGTTCGTGCGACAAGTCATAGCATCAGGATAGGTAGCTTGTGGCTCTGAACCTTCCTTAGTTGAATACAATTGAATTTATTGGGCTAGTTGGTAAACGTGATGTCTTGAACCATCCAACCGTTTGTGTAAATTTAGGCAACTGTACCAACACCATAACTCATCTAATCATTTCGGCTCTCATGGTTGTATCCATTTTGGCCCTGAAAAGCCCTTGATTTTATAAGTGCTTTAGGAGAATTAAACCTCAAATTCTCGTAGAAGCGACCCCACTTCACACTTACATATATGATCTCCTACCTTTCTTCTTTTAAGGTACATGAATCATTAAAAGTTTTTAACTTATCCTTATACATGCTTAACATATCACTTTTACACTTTAGGAATGAGAATAAGTGCTTTACCCCGAATTGTTTATGATTTAGTTGTCTCATTGAACCAAAATCTTGAGATTTCCAATCTAAAATGTTGGGTTTCCGCCATCGTGATTCTTATTCAATAGGCTTTAGGCAAATTCCCCTCGAAAGGTGGTATACTTGATCTCTAGTAAGTCCTTTCGTCAAAGGATCTACCGAATTCTCTTTTGACTTAACATATTGAATATAGATTATACCATTCGATATCAATTGTTTAATGGTATTATGTCTTTGACGTATGTATTGTGATTTACCATTATATATGCTATTCTGTGCCCTTGCAATTGCCGATTGATTATTACAAAGTATGTTAACTACTGGTACAGATTTTCCCTAACATGAAATTTCTTCAAGGAAATTACGAAGCCATTCTGCTTCTTCTCCGGCTTTATCTAAAGCAATAAATTCGGACTCCATCGTGGATCGAGCTATACACGTTTGTTTAGA